CTTAATCTGTAGTATTTTCCTCTTAAGAAAACTCGAGATCGATGCGGTACTATTAAAATATAACAATTATGTAAAATGAAAGATTAAATTCCTTATACCCTAGGAAGGAATAGAAAATTATAAAAGGAATAGAACTATATAGAACGAGCTGTTTCTCGTGAAGAGTTAGGAATAATAATAACATCGAACAAGTGAAGGGGATAAAATAACCATAAAAATAAGCATACACATAAAATATTAAAGAATCATTAAACTAAAAAGGGGGGGGAGCAACCATATAGGAGCGCATGACTATAATAGAATATATCTACGAATACAGCTGACAAATTTGGGAAAATTATCTACTTCAAACAACGGAGAGAGATATTTATAAGACCATATAATACACCACGAACCAGTGGGGATATCAACATTACGGTCAAGGTAGAAATGCCTAAAACGGAAGGTACATAATTAATACATACAGAAAAAACCACCCGAGAGGAGAGGATACAGGGAAAGATGCTGAGGGGATGAAGATTATACACGACACCCAAAGGAGAGAACCAAGAAACACAGTAGGGGTGAAACATAAGGTATAATGTGAGCAGCAGATTTTTCCCTCTGACAAAATAGATATATTAAATCGGGGGTTTCGTATTTTCTGACATATAAGCAGAGGAATAAGGGCAGACAATATCTTGAATGTGTGCTGAGTTCATGGAGTATAATAATTCGTACAATAACTTCATTTTTGTTCGTATCTAAGACTATAGAGGTTGCTATAACGGGCTTCTCCTTATTCCCCACAGGAGGATGTAGAATGTTAAGTGGTATTCATAACCCCTCTTATGAATAAAGGAATATAAGCCTATACAAGGCATACATTCCCCTATTGACATAAGGACCTGTCCTATAAAGGAGTCTTACACCACCATAGAGTTATGAGATTCTTCTGAAAAATGAGAAGAAGTGAATAAATACATGATCATTTTGGCAGTGATATGGTTTTTATATGAGTTTTAAGTGTAATCCTATATGGACATATAAGCCATAATAGGAAAATTCCCTCCCTTAATAATGAGGCAAATAGTTTTATAGACATATTGTGTGTTATTCCACGTGATTAATTAACCGAAATTTTCGAAATTATTGGTGAGTCGTTGTGGAGATCATCTGAATAAACAAGAAACTCTTTATGTTTCGATACATTATCATAATATACATTTACCCATCAGGTGCCAGAAGGATAACTGTTTAAATAGCTGGATATGGAATGTTGTGGCTTATATGATATTTTCTCTTCTATATAGCATATCAGGAGGGATGATATAGAAGCAGCAGTCATGACCTCCTAAGAAGCAAATAGGCAGAAGGATATAACATAGCGGGGGAACATCATATAATGATTAAGAATTTCCTGATAAAAGATAGTGTATATTATAAGGAAAAGGAGGACGAAGGAAGAAATCCCGAAGACACCAAGGGAGGGGCAACTGGAAATATGAGATTTCCGCCATAAAGGAATAGATTAAGCAGTACAAATCCCTAAATAGGAAAAGATAGTGTCAGCAGGGTGAGCAACGGACCGAAGAGCGACAACAAGGCAGGGAAGGGAAACAAAAGAGACCCCGAAGACGAAGGTATAGGAGCTGAAGCAGGTTTAATAGAGAATATGAGCAAATGAAAAGTATAAAGATCGACATCATGGGAGAATATTCAGGAGAATCAATATACAGTAATTACTAAGCAGGGGACGAGCAGGAGCTAGAGCAAAGAAAAAGGAAAAGGGAGAGGAACAGTAACAAAACAAGAGCAACCATAAGAAGAAAATTTTCCCCAAACTATGCCTCTATAGCAAGGAGCCCAATGACAAATAGCCGAGAATATATTATGACGTACAGCAACTCTAGGCAGCGAGGGATAATGCACTGAATAGGAACAGTCAAGACACCGGTCAAACAGAGAGAAATACTCCAACAGATATAAGACTGGAACAGAGTGTGAGAAACCTTGAGTCGAACGATCTGGGAGGAGGAGGAGCTAGAATAATTATGATTATATATTATGAACAACTCAGAATCAAACAAGAACTCCCCAGAGCATACAGGTAGGGATACACTAGGGATAATGCATCTATATCTGAGAAAGTGAATTAAAAAACAGAGACACGAAAACCCAGTGCTATGAATAAGCATAAGTATATATAGGAGGGAGAAATAACCGAAGTCCCCTAAGAACCATATGGAATACCTATAGGGTATAGAGTTATAACAGGGAGATAGCAGCAGGGAAAAGCAAGCATATTGAGAGGCCAAGGGGGAGAGAAAAAATAACTGGCCCTTATAGAGTGATATGAAGTTATATTTAAATAGACCACCCATAGTGAATAAAACAACTGGGGAAATTCATGGTAATAACAGTAGGGACTGCGAAATTCTGGAACCAAATACCTAATTCCAACAAACACCAAGAACACACATGGAATACGAACCAGCATTAGAAACTAAATATGCAATAGCAGGAACTAAATAAGAAGCAAGGGCCTCACCACCGACGCGCAGCTGTAGGGGGCATCCTACCCAGGACGTTAGGTACTAACAGTATTCATCAGGCAAACTACACCGTACAGCCGTAGGGAATACCACAGATGAAAGTCTAAATCACTGTGAGCAGCAAAGGGAATTTCACTAGAGGGCTCAGACAGCAGGGAATTCTGAGAAGAAGCCCCTAATGGGTTAAAGCAGGAGGAACAAAACAGCCCACTAAAGTTGGAGATAGAATTAACGGGCCCAACCCAGTCATTTGGGAAGATGGAGTAAGTAAAAGGAGGAAATTACTCCCACGAACGAAACCATGCAACCGTATATGCCGAAGGATAAGCCAAGTCAACAGAGGGAGGACCAACCAACTTAATAGCGAGGCACAGATATGAAGGAGGAAATTAAGGGATAGACAGGGTTAAGAAATTTTCTGCATGAAAGGAGAATCCGAGACTTGAATCCATGTGAGTAAATACCCAATAAGAGAAAGCAGGCAGGGAGCCCAAGGATGTGACACGAAGTACCCAAGAAAGGGTAAAACCTAGCTGAAAAAGAAAACGACAGAAATTCGTTAAACCAAGCCAGATAAATCAGCCCAGTGTAGGAGGCAAGGATCCACATCACACGAAGAACACTAGAGAGCAAAATCCAGACAAATGAGCAAGATGAAAATCCCCCGACCAGGAGCAGGTGGGTAATATAAAGAGGGTCTTAGTAGGAAGAAGAGGACTATGCGAACAAGAACAAGGATTGGCGGAGCCCTAGTGAAGTGAAAGAATCTACAAGGAGGTACCCACACCAGAACAAGAGGCGTAAGATGGCCCCCTCCATGGGCAAGAAGGAGGAGGAGGAAAAGTAGGATGAGCATTTTCAGGAACATACGGAGGCGCAGGGCCACCCACATGAAGATGAGGGCTGGGACTCAAGTTCAGGAGCCGGAAGTGGACCAACGCCCACTAGAATCTGAAAAAAGACAAATCACATAAAGAAGGAGAAGGAAACAGAGGCAACAGTCGGAACATCCAAATAACGGAGAAAAGACACCAACCTGAAGGAGGAGCTTCTGATACTGAATTAGAGATAGTAGGATGAGTTAAGTTGGGATATCTGCAAAAATTTCCCCGTCCAGGAGAATATCTAAATGAGAGGGCAGATAGTCCATGGTGGAAGCAAGAAATGATGAGGGGAAATGTGGCTCTAAAATCGTGGAGCCCATTATAGCATCCAATCGGAGAAATTTTTAGATATGATATATACAGCAGCCCCTGCGCCACAAGGGAGGGAACAAAACAGCCAAAAGCAGAAGTCGAGAAATAGAAGAAAAGCCTACTAACCAAACGGGGGACGAGGTTAGATGAGCCAACGAGTCCTCATATCCCAACAAGTTAAGAAGGTGTCTCTGACTCTCCAACTCCCTATATGGGAACGGACAACTCCCTATTCAACAAAAAAAGCCAGGAGGAGTATAGCCACAGACAGAAGCAATAAAACAATTAATTTCTTTCTAAAAATAAAAAAACACTAAAATACCTCCCCAGATCTAACAGACAGAATCCAGAAGTCCAACAAGATAATTACAAGAATAGAGCTGAACAAGTCAGAGACCAATCGATCACTAAAGATTCTCCTGAAGGACAACTCCCCAATCTATCCTGTAAAACAGAAGAGAAAAATAAACAACAAAGTGCAGCCACTGACGTTAAGTCTTATCGGCGAAAATATAAGTAACCACCGAGGCCACGTCTCAATTCTAAGAATTCCCTCTGCTCCGGAAGTGCCCTTTAATAAGTATAGCATATCTATTTAGATAAACCGGAGTATGACTCTGAGAGATCCAAATCATAAACCAAACAAGAAATCTAAGGAATTTGACATGATAAAGACAAAAGCTAGAACAGGCTGAAGGAGGAGCAAAAAACAAAAACAGATAACATGAGGTTATACGACCGCTTCCACAAAGAAGCAATAATTCAAAAACGAGGAACCTAAGAGAGGAAACCGAAGACTTCTTAGTAACAAGAAATATCCTAGGGTTTACGCCTAATAGCCAAATGATAATATCTCTAACCTAGAAGACATACAATATTGCGCCTACTCCCACACAAACCAGGTCCTATACCAAGCCATGAGGAGAAAGATTGCCTAGTATTAGTGACTCTATGAAGTATAGTCTTCAATCACAGGCCAGAGAGGAATCTCTTCCACATATTTCACAAACAAACGGGAGCCTCTAGATGAAAAATAACAAAACAGTAAAATCAAGCAACAACTCTCAAGGGAGCAACCGATGGATGCCAAATGACAACTTCCAGAGACAGGAATAAATAAAGTAATGCCCAGGGAAGCTCAACCCCCTTACAGTTCCCAGAAAGTACCAGTAGGAAGGCATCTAGGTGCGAATAATTAACTAAGAGTAATCATATGGCCAGAGGGAGGGAGAGAAAATCAACCGACCTAATCCCAGCCATTAGGAATGAACAATAAGGTATAACACAAGGGGATTATATCCAATCCCCTACATCATATAATTCACAAACTCGGAGGCCAGAAAAACAAAATATTTATCTCCCAGAATTTTTTGAGATCTTGTTCAATCGTGACATATTTAGACAAAACCGTATGAATAAA